AAAATGTGCATTTGGACAGGTATGTATATATACAAACATGATGGAACCCCTAGAAAAGACTGAAAATAATGTGACCACAGGGACATGTTCAATCAAGGTGTGTCCTCTAATTAGCATCACAGGTGTCTACAAACTTCAGTCAGTCGGCCTATTTATAGGGTTACAAGTCGTCACTGTGCTGTTTAGTGACATGGTGTGTACCACACTGAACATGGACCAGAGGAAGCCAAGGAGAGAGTTGTCTCAGGAGATTAGAAAAAAAATCATATACAAGCATGTTAAAGGTAAAGGCTATAAGACCATCTCCAAGCAGCTTGATGTTCCTGTGACTACAGTTGCACATATTATTCAGTAGTTTAAGATCCATGGGACTGTAGCCAACCTCCCTGGACGTGGCCACAGGAGGAAAACTGATGACAAATGGAAGAGACGGATAATATGAATGGTAACAAAAGAGCCCAGAACAACCTCTAAAGATATTAAAGGTGAACTCCAAGGTCAAGGTACATCAGTGTCAGATCACACCATCCGTCGTTGTTTGAGCCAAAGTGGACTTCATGGGAGACGACCAAGGAGGACACCACTGTTGAAAACAAATGATAAAAAAGCCAGACTGGAATTTACCAAACTGCATGTTGACAAGCCACAAAGCTTCTGGGAGAATGTCCTCTGGACAGACGAGACAAAACTGGAACTTTTTGGCAAGGCACATCAGCTCTATGTTCACAGACGCAAAAATGAATCAAGAAAAGAGCACTGTCCCTACTGTGAAACATGGAGGAGGCTCTGTTATGTTCTGGGGCTGCTTTGCTGCATCTGGCACAGGGTGTCTTGAATCTGTGCAGGGTACAATGAAATCTCAAGACTGTCAAGGTATTCTAGAGAGAAATGTGCTGCCCAGTGTCAGAAAGCTTGTTCTCAGTCACAGGTCATGGGTCTTGCAACAGGATAATGACCCAAAACACACTAAAAACACCCAAGAATGACTCAGAGGAAAACACTGGACTATTCTGAAGTGGCCTTCTATGAGCCCTGATCTAAATCCTATTGAACATCTGTGGAAGGAGCTGAAACATGTCATCTGGAGAAGGCACCCTTCAAACCTGAGACAACTGGAGCAGTCTGCTCATGAGGAGTGGGCCAGAATACCTGCTGAGAGGTGCACAAGCTCACTGACAGTTACAGAAATGGTTTGATTGCAGTGATCGCCTCAAATGGTTGTGCAACAAAATATTAAGTTAAGGGTACCATCATTTTTGTCCAGGCCTGTTTCATGAGTTTATTTTTTAAAAATAATTCTGTTAAATCACAGTTCAAAAGCAATGTCTGATTTTCATTGCTTAATTTTCTTTGAATCTTTTTTTATTATTACTTTTGTCAGATTCAAGTTATTTCTGTGACCATTGTAGGTTTTTCTTTCATTTACTGAGTGGTACCAACGATTTTTGTCCACGTGTTTATATATTTTTTCTTTACAAATTTACGTTTTAAACTTTTATAATTTGCGCTAACTTATTGTAAGCTCTTTTTGTTGTTGTATTGCTTGTGCTGTTGTGAAACCACAAGTGGGACAGAATATTAGTAACAAACAAGTCAGTGACAAACAAACAATTTATTTCTAGAAATTATGGAGAAGCCAGCAGCCCGGCAAGCACCGACGATACAGTTTAAATACAGTTTAAATCTCCATTCATTAAGGGAAATTGATGGATTCCCTCTGCTCGTTGGAGCACTTAGAGTCCATGAATCTTTGGCTTTTGGAAAGGTTTGCAGCTGTACAGCAGCATGTAGGCATTTGGAGATTGCACCACACTGTCCCGTACCTCCTTGACAATCGAGTCGTCAAAACAGTGCCAGACCTGAGCCGGAGCGTTGTGGCACAGAGCCGTGTAGTGACCCATGTTCAGATGGCCAATGTGGTTCTGAAGAGGTAAAGGGTTCATTTTCATCAGCAGAGAAATCACCAGGCAAAGACAGAAAAAAGAGAAACTGAGGAAAAATGAAATTGCTTGGCAGACAATTTGTTATTTCATTTAACTATTCATATACTGGTTTAATTTATTGTTCTTGTAGCCAATCGTGTCGCAATTGAGCTCTAATTAAGGCCGTTTAAAAAAATCAAATCAATACAACAAACACCAATGATAATAGCACTAAAAATGCCATATTAAATTAAATTAAAGAAAAAGAACAAGTAGAATTTAAAAAAAGAGAAAATAAAACCATAAAAACAAGGGGAGTACAAATAATAATAGTAAATTAAAAAATTAGTAAGTAGTTAAAAAATGGTTAAAAAAGAAAAAGAAAAAAATCGATGACATCACATGACATCACATAAAAGCAAGTCTATAAAAATGGTGATTTAAAAAGAAGACAACCAAAACTGTTACAAAAAATGAACTCATCCAACAACAGAAAAACTAATCATAATAGGCTGGTTACCGATTGGTCAGTTTAAGTCTAACTGGATCTGTCCAAGTTGTTTTTGAGACAAGACTATTACTTCTGTCCATTTTTCAACAAACACAGTAAAAGCAAAACAAACATCTAACTACACCTTTAGTATATTAGTAAGCAGAGTTGTTTTTTGTTTTTTTTAAAATCTATTTCTATGTGTTTGCTCACCACAACAGCATATAGATGGTACGAAGAACACGAGGAGTTCTGTGCTGAGCTGGATAGAAACGGCGTGAGATCGAGCTTCGTGGAAAACACAACATTAGTCCTCAGTTTCACCTGGTTCTTCCCTTTACACCCAAACCTGCAGAGGAAATAAAGAAAGTTCACACTGATCTAAAAAGACACGACTGATTTACAACTAGCCTCAGCTCTGCTGTATCTCAGGGGTATTTGGACGCAGCAGCGCTTCATAATATAATAAGAAAGTTATGTCAGAACATAAAGTATACATGAGTTATGTTGAGTTCATGCATTTCTATTATATTCTATTTTTTTAAAGGAAAGTTCATTCACACATTTAGTATTAATACACACTTAAGGCACTGCTAGTTATTTGAACTTACAGTTAAGGCTTCCATGAATTCTTTTTTCTTAAGTATTGAATATCTCTGATGAAGAAGATGGTTTTGCCCACTTCTGCTGCTTTAATCAGTGTTTTAATTCATCAAACTCGTCTTTATCAGTTATTCTAATACAGTTACCTGCACACATAATATTCTCATGACACACAGTAATGTCAGGTTTCTTGAAGATTGTGATATCATGTATTATTGCAAAAATAAAGAGCAAATGCACTGTTTGAAATCTATCCATCCATTATCTATACACCGCTTAATCCTCACTAGGGTCGGTCTGGAGCCTATCCCAGCTAACTTAGGGCGAAGGCAGGGGACACCCTGGACAGGTCGCCAGTCTATCACAGGACCACATATAAACAAGACACTTTGACCGCATTGCAGCTCCCACACAATTTAGAATCACCAATTAACCTCAACATGTTTTTGGACTGTGTGGGAGGAAGCCGGAGAACCCGGAGAGAAAATTCAAACTCCACACAGAAAGATCCCGGGTGTCCTCACTGGGACATGAACCGGCAACCTTCTAGCTGCGAGGCAACCCTGCTAACCACCTCTCCACCTTGCAGCCCCTGTTTGAAATCAAATTATTTATTTATCATTGATAAGAACAGAACAATGTTTGTTTGTGCAGGAAGAGAAGATTATTTCTGCTCAAAGCTAATTTGATTATCTTAAAATTCAAACACAAGTAATTGGAAGACTGAAGTTTAAAACTGAACTTTCAAGTCAACAAAGATCAAAAGTCCTTAAATTGTTTCCAAAAACACACATATGTTTATGTACGTTTCTTTTGTACCTTGACAAAGGTGAAGATCGTGAAGATCCTCTAACCAGCAACTGCACTAAGTCGATATTTATGCGAGATTGTTCTTTCCATGAGGTTTTTAAAGATTAAAACCATAAATTCCATGCCTTCATTCATTCATAACAACTAAAGATTCATCAGTTCAACATGCACACTAACTACAAAGTGTTTCTCAGATGATTCTACATTTCTACGCACCGTTTCAGGTGCAGCAGGAGGATCTCAGGAGGTTTGTCTAAACTAGTGACCACCGCTGTTTCCCTCCTCTGCCCACACACCGAACACAGCATTTGCTCTCCCCCCGTCAAGATAGTCTGCTCGAAGAACAGTGACAGACAATCCTGCATGAAATAGAGACAGAGTGAAGGTGAGAAAGCAGAGAACAGCAAGGCCACCAATATCTGAAATGTAGACAGGCTAGATGGTGTTTTAAAAAGATATTTGCAAGCTGGTAAAAGGTACCTGAATGGAGCATTTAATGATGTCTGTTGGAAGGGGCAGTGACAGAACAGTGAAGGTTTGTTTGCTGTGCGCCTGGTGGTCGCACTGCATGCAGAGGGTCATGTAGTTCAGCTGGCCCTCAAACAGATGTGAGACAATGGTGAAGTCAGTGGCACAGTTTCTGTTGTGTTCTTGTCTCACTGAGGAGCGCATCTGCCGCTTTGCAACCTTGTAAACACACAAACACACAGTCACTCTTTCTTTAGGTGGAGTCTGCTGCAGAGAGGTGAGAGCCAGTGAGGATGTGCTAGGTGTTGTTGCACCTTTTTGAGGTCGTCATGGAGCGCATTGAGCAGAAAGAGCAGCAGCTCCTGGGCGTCTTGCTGGGAATAGTTGTTAAACTGTGGGAGGATGGAGAACAGAACGGACCGGACCTCCAGAGGGGCACAGCAGGAGCTTCTTCCCAGCCACATCTCCTCCAGCAGGCGGACAAACACCTCAGCGAACCGGCACTTAGACCTGCGTAAACAAAGGTTAAACTGCTCAGCAAACAAGGTTCAACACTGAAGTGAGTCAGAGAAGCAGAGGTGGGTGGGTGGTCTTACTTTGCCAGCTCTCTGCGTGTGTCCTGATTAAGGAGATGCTCCACAAGAGGCACAGTGGAGCACAAACACTGCAACACAACATTGAGGTAGCAGGAGTTGCCAGCGTTGTCTAAACCACACACTCCGGGTCTGCTCCACCTCGTCTGCAATTTCACTGCTGAGACCTGTTTGTCATTTTCCATCACCCGACCACTGCTGCTGGTAGTTGTCCTGCAAGAGACGGAGCAACAATCACAACAGTCTGTCCTATTCCTGTGCTTGTTTGTGTTGCACATTGTGTCATAATAAACCTCTTAAGACCTGGTGTCCACATGTAAGGACATCACATTTTGGGTTATATTACCACAGTAGTAATTTTTTAAATTTATTTTTAATATTTTATTATTATCATTTTATTATTTTTATGTATTTGTTTTTCATTTATTAATTTTTTAAAATATCTTTATATATTTTTTGAATATAGTTTATTTTCTTTGTATTTTTTTTATTTAATCTGATCAAATAGCAAATAGAAATAAATACATTAAATTATTAAATCTGATTAGAGTGTCAAAGCATTCTGCTAAATGTGTTTTCAACTACAGTTTCATTAGTACAATTTTGGTGTAACATCATTTATCTAGCAAAATATCAACATATGCTGGCAACTTGTTAAATGTGAAATTTGTCTCTTTTTTAATGTAAAATTAAAATATTTGCATTTTGGATTCATGAAATTTGAAGATGTCTCCTTGGGATCTGTGAACTTGTGGAGGAAATTTCATTAGTCGCAGGTCTAACATTTTTAATATCAAACATATGAACCTATTTTACTCTGATCTGAGTACTGTACTGTAACCTTACATGCAGTATATACAGTGCACTTTATCTTACTCTTATCTTGCACATTGTACACAATTTCATATCAGTAGAAGTATTATCAGCTGCAGATGAGCTTGAACAGTGATGCTGAACTGGATTTAAAATAACAGAGCCCTCCACTGTTTTTCTTGATACAAGTATTTTTAGAGATCAAGCGCTTTTTAAAAATAGAACTCTATCAGTGCTTCGGATTGCCTTTTTTCTGTTTTTCATACATCTAATATTGTGGAGGCTATTATTAGCTGGAATCGAAGCACTATCACAAACAAAACTAACCTTTGCTTGGAAACATTTGCTAAGCCTGTCTCCTGGTATGAGCAGCTGTTTAGTTGTGGCAGAACGGGCACGGTGACGCTGCTGTCCACGGCCAGCTGAGAGGCCAGAGTTCTGGTGAACTCCGTCAGGTTGACCTGCTGGCCCGAGCCCCGGCTCTGCAGAGTGTGGAGCACAAATGTGTTGATGCAGATGGCATGTAGTGTCACCCAGAGGCCCGGCAGAAACACATCGACGACAGATCCTTTCAGGTCCGACAGAGAGAGCAGAGCAGGTCCGGTCCAGCCCTGCAGGTGGGACAGCAGATGAGACATTGAGTCTTCTGATGTTCGCTGGTGCAGATGTAGCATAGAGGAAGTCAGGCTCATCTCTGGCCTTTTAGCAGCTGGAACAAAATTAATATTGTCTCCAAACCCTGAGAAGATGTCTGTGAGTCTGCCCTCCATCCAGGCGGAGCTGTCCAGCTGAACCAGGTGTCTGTGGCTGCAGAAAGGTCTCAGCAGGTGTTTAACCACCTGCTCAACCACAGGCCTCCTGCTGCGCCTCTGGAGCTGCTCTGGACAGTACAGGTACAGGTTACAGATGAACCCCGAGCTCATGTCACACAGGAGGGCAAGATGGAGTGAGCAGGGACCGTGCTGGTAGGAAAGTCTGTATTTCTTCACAGCCAGGTTGGAACCAGGTGTGTTCAGGGCCTGGTAGCGCCGGGTTACGTGGCTACAGAAAGCAGACAGGGCTTCCAACTTGTCTGCATCCTCCAGTCTGGTGAGACACAACAAGTTGGTCTGGATGCTGTTTCTCTTCAGGACGCCCTGCCATCCGTCCAGTTTCAGTGTCAGGTCAGAGCCAAAGCTGCAGTTCTCTCCTGCAGACAGGCCGCTTTGTAGGACTATGGAAAACCACGTTAGAGCCTCTGCATACTCTTCCTCAGAGAGATCTGCGCTCTGCTCTCTGCTCTGGCTGTTTGACAGACGATTACCTCCCGTCTTCACGCCGGCAGCTCTTCTCGTCAGCTCCTGAACGGCTTCTCTGTCCAGTACTTCCAGCAGAAGCTCTCTGGCCGTGTAGTGAACCTGGTAAGTGTGGCTGCTCTGGATCTTGGTGAGCGGCTTCACCTTTTTGGACCTGAAGATATTTGGTAAACAAAGGCTGTCCTTCTGGGTAGCTCCACGCAGCTCATCCACTAGGTGGCACTCCTCTGACATCCAGGCACACTCCTTCACCGACAAAGCTTTGGCCTTCATCTCTCGCCTCGGAACTTAATCTAAGAAAAAGTCATCTCGAGATACAGCGGAGGCTAATCTCAGAACCACAAGTGCAAAAAAAAAATTCCTCTGTTCTGCCCTGAAGCCTGTTTAGTTTGATGACAAAAGGAGAAGATCACCAAAGACAGAACACAGTGCACTCGAGGTCTTTTATCCTGTGGGGTGTCTGACAAAGTGTTTGTACTGTACATGTATGCATGTGAGTGTTCATGTGCTCTCAGGTGAAACACGCACACTCATGAGAGTCGAGATAAATCACCAGGGAGCCGCAGTAGCTAGACAACAGTGTCTTGGCTACGTATAAACAAGACACTTTGACCGCATTGCAGCTCTCATGACACGTCTTTGTACTCTTGTGTGCAACTGTAGGGTTTTTGCTCGACATTTAGCCAGACCATTGAGAAGCCGAGGGGAACCCCGTTGCCTCATAGTTTAACCAGCAGTCAGTATTTAAGGTTTAAGCAACCTTTCGCAAAGTTCCCTGGGTGGGCTTCTGCAGACAGAATCATTGTTAGAGGCAGATGTTGCAACTCGTCTAAGAACTATGACTCCTGTTGAGCAGCTTTTTGCAACATCCAATTGTGTCTGTTCTTATTTTCTGTTTTACTTGTTTTACTGTAATTCTCGTGAACACAGCAAAGTCTCTTCAACTCAGCTCCTCTCACTGCTTTTGCTAGTGTTGGTCAGTGGTTGTCCGCAGTTGTGCAAAGCTTTAATGACCTCCATATCCCACCCTGCTCTGTAAAAGTGTCACCACCAGCCAGTAGGAGTCACGAGTGCAGCAACAAGGACACACACAGTTAGTTTGTGCAACTTGGGGTCTTGCAGTTTTAGCCTGAATGTCAGTGGAGCTCTGTGCTTACAAAGCAGACAAGCTTTTATGACAGAAATTAATAAATGCAGATTTCAAAGTTGATAGTCAGTCGTGCACAAACAAAACAGACCATCTACAGCTGAATAAAAGTCATGTAATTCTATAGTTCAACAGCTCACCTTCTGTTCTCCTCATCCTTTACAGCCTACAGCTACTTGTATTTGTTTCTGTCTTTCATGGCAGCCTATAGAAACTTTCAGAAACTTTCAAACATTGTTGCTGCCTGTCTACCCGATCTGTTTGATTGGTCAATGACAAGTAGAGCTGCACAAGATTAAATGCTTTGCTCAAAGGCTTCCTGCATCACCTGTAGGAAAGGTAAGTGACAGCAGGTGGATTTGGAAGTGATGATGTTCTTTACTGTCTGTCTCTGGTCCATAATTAAACTCCTAAAAACTCATCTCTGTGTATCAAACTTACATATTGACAAGTTGTTGTTTTTTTCTGTGAAAATAATCCCCTCCTGTTTCTCCTCTCTCTCCATGCAACCCTCACTGCAGCTCGAGCACACCAGCTCACCTACAATTCTGCTCAGACACAGTAAAAACTACGATAACTACAAAGCTGTAATATTTGATTTATTTCAGCCATATATGTTCAAAGCAGAAACTGATTGTGAAAATTAGCAATGACATAGAAAGTCTGACCCTACAAGTTAACAGGATTGTTTCCTTAGGTTTGTTATGCATAAAATTCCAAACGTCTGAACCCGTGTTTTTGAGACTGTCATTGATTTCTAAGGTGGAAATGCACAGCCATGGTGTTTATTTTGCTCATCATAGGTGCTCTGGCTTATAAAAAAGAACCACAATTGATTTAAAAAAAATAATTAAAAAAAAGTCAACAAAGGAGAGCTTTAAGACTTGATAGCAAAAATGTTCATCCATCAGCAAAAGTGAGAGTGTTTCCCACAAGGAAGTAGCCTGCAGTTACTGTCTACAGCTATAAATCCTAGTAAGTCACTGACAGGCTCACACTTCACATGAATGATAAACGGCAAAATGTGCAGGTATGATTAGTAAATCATTTTTAAGAAGCCAATAATCACACTGTGTACCTTGTGGATATCTGTTTATGGCGTCACGTTTTCTCCTCTCCAAACTGTGGTCAGCACAAATTAAAGCGTGCTTCCTGCTGAATCTGTTGAATGTTTGCAGGTTTACATTTCAACATAATACCCAAACACTCACACACACAAATAACAACTATAAAGAAATTACCTTCACTACACTGAGCGATCATTGCATTACCACAAGTGGGTCAAATGTACAAGCTATTACTTTGCTAACCTGTAGATGTCACACATCAGCATTAACTGTTGCTTCTGCTACTTTTCTCATTATTTGATTGGTTTAGGGTTAAACACAAACAGATGTGCACATATGAACGGGTGTCAGTTTCCTGGGTTTAAGTACTATAAAATCAATTGTAGTGGTGTTTTTGTTTCGCAGAGCTTCTTATAATCAGCTCAACAAAACAAAGTCTGCTCAATTTCAGCCAAATTATTCAGCCAACATTCTGTGTTTTGACAAAACGCAAATCTGGCTTGTGTGGATTTAATCCAGCATTCACCAAACAAAAATATCTGCCTGAAGCTTTCATCACAGATAATATTCCAAGCTAGTTGGCCGTGAAATGCAGATAAATTTGGCAGGGAAGCTAAAAACCAAGAGGCATTTCATCACGATTTCAAAAACTAATTTAATACCAGTCTCTGAAGTACCCATGTATCACAACAAACTTGCGCTGACATAAATTTCTGAAGTTCACCCGACATTTTACATCCAAAAGCACGCAAAAACAAGGTAGACGTGCCTAATAGGTAAGGTGCAGCTTCCACACGTACCAAATAACATCTTAAACCTCACTGTGGAATGATGCACACAGGACGAACAGCAGCAGCTTCTCAGTTTCAGTCTCTTCTTTGTAGTGTTTTTCCACAGCAAATACAGTGTGTGTAGCACCGGGGTGTCGTGATAATACTCTGCCTTCTGTCACTGGGGGTGGAAGAATCACATAATTACCTCAAGGGCTTGGGAAGCTCTCTTGCATAAATCAAATCCACTTTCAAGCTCAAAATATGTTAATCCATTAATATCAAAGGGCATCTTCTCTCCTCCAGTACACCCTTCTGAGCTTAGTGTAATTTCTAATCTAAGAATCTATTCATTCACCCACAGAGACACAATCGAGCGTCCACGGTTACAGGATGTGCTTCAGTCTGAAGTGGCCGGTTCACGTCACCCACACAATGAAGAAGAAAACACAAAGCTGATGATTTTATTTCATGTGGGAGTCTGAAGTAATACATATGTGGGCGATAACTTGCAGTGGAATACCACTTCTGAAAACATTATTCTGGCGCCTGAGCTGTTTTTCCTTTTGATGCTCTGTTTGTGAAACTACTTGTGATTGATGAGTCAGAAAACATGGAAAATACGAAATCAAACCTGTTTTGCTTTTCTGGAAAATGCTGCAAATTTTTTTTAACCGTGACAAAAAATAGTTAGATAAAACTAGTGAAGCTTTGTCAACGTTTTAATAGGCCTCTCAGTTTATGCATGAACACATTGACACTAACGCAGATTTAGTCTTGATCTGTCTTATTTTTAGATTCTTTAAATATCCGAATGTATGGTGCAAGAAAATTGGTCTGAAAGTGACTTCAGTCTGGCTGCCACACTCAACCAATGGAATCTAGAAAAAAAGACAAAATACGCTGTTTAGTCTGTCAGAGCGTCACACACAGTCATAAATTACCTTTTTTCTAACACAACTTTTTTGCAGAACTATTTCTTCATTGTTACCATATAGATGCATTTTTAGTGTAGCCACAACTCCAACACTACTAGATAGCTTTGACCAACTAAAAAACATTTCCATTTGTTTTGTGGCATTATTATGACCATTAACAGGACAGTATGAGAATGCATCTGTTTTGTAAAGATTCTGCACCGAAAAGAAAGAAAATGCAAAAGACTGAATGATCGTAATGTTCTGTTTCTCCTAAACGGGTGTCCTGAGCAGAACAAGAACCCCTTTGACATCACCGTCTTGTGTGTAATTATCTTAAGTAATTTAAATTCTTATCGTCTCGTGAGCTTTATGAACAATTTAAAAAGCATAACTTCAGCAACTATTCCAGATTTTCAATTGAGAGTCACATAAAAGAAAGCTAATTATGCTCTGTATGTCTGTCCTCATGGTGTACTTATACAGGGCAGTATGGAATGCATTAGCAAATCATAACTGTGTCATTTACACTAGTAGAAGGGTTCTCCTAATTGCGAGGATGAACAAGAGAAGCAATTTCAGCAAGAAAAACCCTGTGGACATCTGCTATTGTTTGTAAATCTAACTTTTGATATCTATATTACTTCATTTAATTGAAGAAAAACAGGTTTAAGTATTCAAATTAGATTTTTCCTTAACTAGATAGAATACTTTATTCATCCCTTAGGGAAGAACCTTTCGGGAAATTCAAGGCAGTGCTGTAGAGCTACTGGAGAGGCTGCCATCACTCACAGTGCATGAAAGAATAGTAAATATAGTTGTAGTTATGAGATTGTGGTAAATTAAAAGGCATATTTCTATTGTGACCTGCGGTAGACAAAACAAGTAGGAAAAGATCAAATGAAAATGTTTAAGTAAAAATCAAACAATGTCAGAGTAAATAAGATAAAAATGTCATTGGAGGTAAAGCGTCCTCATTTCCTCTGCTAATCAGCCGTCAAAGGTCACATGAGAGACTGCCACTAACAACACACCACAGGGACTTCTTATAATGACATCTTGTCACGCTCAGACTCACCTTTGCCACATATTGACTGGTTGGGTTGTTTATGGTCCCACTGATTATGTCCATTTGGCACACAAGGAGTTATCTGCATTCTTGGTAAATACACAATTCTCTACATAGAAAGAAAGCCTGCAGTTTACCACCATTTACACCTTGATTCATGTGAGTAACAGTAGAGTGAAGACACTCTGGTGGCCTTAAATAAATACCTGGAGTTGAGAAGAGTCTTGGATAAGACAAGATAAGAAGCTGAACCTCTTCAAGAATCAAAAGAAGCCCAGTTACCTTCTACTTAAACACTTACAG